TTTTTTTTTTTTTTTTTTTTTTGGCGGTATGCGGGCCTCTCACTGTTGTGGCCTCCCCCATTGCTGAGCACAGGCTCCAGACGTGCAGGCTCAGCGGCCATGGCTCACGGGCCCAGCCGCCCTGCGGCATGTGGGATCTTCCCGGACCGGGGCACGAACCCGTCTCCCCTACATCGGCAGGCGGACTCTCAACCACTGTGCCACCAGGGAAGCCCCTTAAGAATCTTTTGACAAATCTTTTATATGTATGAAACAGTGAATGATATAGTTATAATAGGAAATTCGCTATCTGATTAATTAGATATATATTAATATATACAGTAAGATAATGATTTGCAGTATGGAGAGTCAGTGCAGTGGACATTAAGGATGGGAAGAGGGGAGTGGGTGTGGTGGTCGGCAAGACTTCCAGGAGGAGGTTGGGCTAAAATTGGGCTCCGAAGAATATAAAAATTCTACCTCATATTTTCAACTCAGACAAATGGGTCTTACTAGGGTTTAGCTCAACTGATGAGGTTTGAGTGAAATATTTAGAACGACAGTATAAAGTGTATCTTATAACTTCCGTTTTTTGTAATGCCACCATAGCAGAGAAATGTGTTTATCAGACCTTGAAAATAACCACCTAAAAGTCGATTTTAAGAGGGAGGAAAATCAGAAGTCACTGGTTAAGGACCAAAAATTTGAGACCACGTTGGTTCAGCAAAATAAGTCAGAGGAGAGCTCTTATGATGTGTGCAAAGAGAAGAAACTACAGGTTAATGCTTCATTTGGGGGAAAACGTGTAATTGCTATCTCATCTCTACTTGCAAAAGACTTAGTGGAGAAACAAAAGTCTTGGTCTCTGGGAGGAAAAATCCAGACTGAACCCGAAAACAAAAGTACGTTTTGCAAGATCCACGCAAAATCACCAAAAGGTAATGGAGTTGGGATTCAGAATGAAGAGAAACAACTCTCGGAAACATCAACATCTGTAGCCGATGAAAAGTGGCATGACATCAGCCTCTACCTGGGCCTGGCCAACTGTTCTGGTTCAAAACAACCAGGAAAGCTAGATGTCAAATGTCAAGATCACCTGGAAAGGTCTGGAGTCTCATGTTGCCATAAAAGCGAAGCCTGTCTGGATGAAAGCGACATGTGGGAATCCAAGTGCTGCCACCCGAGTAACTTCATAATCGAAGCTCCAGGCCACATGTCTGACGTGGAATGGATGAGCATCTTCAAGCCTTCCAAAGTGCAGAGAATCGTGCGCCACAAATCGGTGTGCACTTGTTCGGAAAGTGCCAGTGGAACCAAATACAACTCCTCTATGAGGTCAGTCTCGTTTCATGTTTGTAAACACCCAGGGAACCTACTTACTGTTTTGAGAAATATAAAAGGGGTGCAGTAGCCACTTCATGCCAACTGTGAAACGGAAAGCAGTGTTTACAAACAGAAATTGCGTTTGACAAACCGTTTCCTCTTTTCATCACAGGGTAGGCTGTTGAGTTTTTGATCGTACAGAGTCTGTATTGGATTCCAGTGAGAAGTTTGTGCCTAGGACAGCTTCTGAGGCAAAAGTTTTGCTTAAAAACAAAGCCAGTTGTCATGAGCTGAGCAAACATGTTTTATTTTAAAACAAACCGGGAGGTCACTTTACAGGGTAGAATGCTGCTGTGGAGCATTCCTCAGCCAGGATCCTTTTGAATCGATAAGCCGTTTCTTTCATGTCCAGATTACATTCCCTAGACCCCAGATAAGACATTCTTTTCGCCCCCATTGGCTTATTTACACATCCAACTGCTTTGGCCTTTGTGTTCACTTTACATTTCCCAAACTTTGTTACTTTTAAAAATCATGCAGGAGAAAGAATATTTGTATTTAATAAGCTGGTAACAGTTATTGGTTTCTTTTTTTCCAGTTTTATTGAGATATAACTGACATACAGCACTGTATAAGTTTAAGGTGCTTGGCATAATGATTCCAGTGCATCAGGAAATGATGACCACAGTAGGTTTAGTGAACATCCGTCATCTCATAGAGATACAAAATAAAAGACAAAGAAAAAAAAATATTTTTTCCTTGTGATGAGAACTCTTAGGATTTACTTTCTCAACAACTTTTTTTTTTTTTTTTTTTGTGGTAGGGCCTCTCACTGTTGTGGCCTCTCCTGTTGCGGAGCACAGGCTCTGGACGCCCAGGCTCAGCGGCCATAGCTCACGGGCCCAGGCGCTCCGCGGCATGCCTAGCTCACGGGCCCAGCTGCTCTGCGGCATGTGGGATCTTCCCAGACCGGGGTACGAACCCGTGTCCCCTGCATCGGCAGGTGGACTCTCAACCACTGCGCCACCAGGGAAGCCCTCAACAACTTTTATATATAACCTACAGCAGTGTTAATTACATTAATCCTACTGTACATGAAATCCCTAGTTCTTATGTATCTCATAACTGGAAGTTTGTGCCTTTTGACCGCCCTTAGCCAACTGTTTTTTTTAAGAGAAAAAAAATGGATTAGTTTCTGGCATATGCTGCATTTTTCAGCCTCATCTTACTGTTCGAATTGCTGAATCTTGTAGTTAGTTGAGGGGTGCTACACTAATGTCTGCTATTGTTAAAGGAAACCTAGCTCTTTGATCTTAAATTACAGAAAGGATGAAGCGTCTGTATTGAGAGCCTTATTTTAATCATCACACTGACTTTCATAGGACTCTATGATTAAACTTCCCTTCTGGTATTTTCATTGTTTGGATTATCGTTTGGCCCTTTTAGAAGCCTGAGTCGCTTAAAAATCATAGTTATTCTGTCAACAAAAATTGGTTGTTACGCTAAATATTATCTATTCATATTTGGTTTTTAAAGATCATCTTAGATAATTGCAAGTACCAGGAGGGCACAACTTCCTATTTTTCACTATTGAACAAGAACACGCATATATTAAGGGAAAAGCTTGTGTTAAGTAGTTTTAAGAGCAGAGTGGACACATATTAAACTTAGTGTATGAAAGAAATTCAAAGACAATTTCAGAGTTTTCTTTCAAGGCCCTTTTGACCTCCGTGGCTTGAAATGATTCAAGTGACTTCTCGTTCTGCCAGCAGAGGCATTTGCCAAGGCATCGCATGACAAACGCGTGATTAAGTGGAAAAGATAATGATGTTTTCCTGTTTTTCCTCAGATTATACGAGCTTGTGTACCTACTTCATCACCTGACTAAAATGTTCACATTTATACCACCGTTCCATTTGCCGTGCAGGGGTTTACGTGTGGAGGGGGCAGCCGCCGCGGCCTGCTCTGCCTGCCTTACAGGGCCTGTGGGGGGAAGAGGTTTCCAGGGCCTCTTGCTCTCAGCTCTGCTTTGAGCCCGGTGTTAACAACACACCAGAAACTTAGCTGCACGTGCCTGTTCTCTAATAACTACTGAGACCCTATGGAAGAATCAAGGACCCACAACAGTGCCATTCTGCTTTCACAGGACTTGTAAAAGACCGTTAACAAAAATCAGTCTCACAGACCAAAAACCTAAAATCTTCCAATGTTTAACCTTATGCTGTATTCATTTTTTTCCTCTTTTGGATGATCTCGTCTCTCACACCTTTTCTTTGCTTTTTTTTTGTGGGTGTGGGGAGGAGGGCAATTCTCTCTTCTGTAGTTACCCTTTAACGAGAAATTTGGTTTTAATTCTTACTGCTAAAGGTATGCATTCATTTATAGTATTCTACACAAATATTCTGCTCAAGTCTCTAATGTTCTATTCAAACTTGAGCTTCATCATCAGAAAAGAAAACTTTTTTTTTTTTTGTCCTGTTGAGATACTTTCAAGTATAACAGTATTGGTGACATGTGTCTGCTCTTGTTTCAAGATGCCTGTTTTTGTTCTGGTTTTATTATTCACAGTGAGCTGATTGCCATCCAGCAGTCCCACTGTTTGGGTTCTTCAAAATCTGCCTTAAGAGAGGATGAGAAGTTGATAGAGACGGAGTCCTCTTCTGATAAAAAGAACTCATCTAAGATTTTGTTAGTCAACAAAGATGCAGCATTGCCCAGTGAAAAGGTTTGTGTTTCGCTTAGAAATACCCAGCTTATTCAAGCAAGACTTCTCCCCAGCATACTTTTAATTCTCCTAGAGCACTACTGTTAGTGTGCTTAATTTTGGCTATTCTTCAGTTTTTTTTTTTTAATTATAGGACTTTAATTTATACTACTTAACTGAAGTCATAATTATTTACCTTCTCTTATCTTTAAATATCCTATAGATAACTTCAGGGAGGATGTCCCTCAGGCCCTCCAGGTGATTGATGTATCTATTTTTAATAAATATTTTATTTTATTTTTTTTTGTGGTACGTGCGCCTCTCACTGCTGTGGCCTCTCCCGTTGCGGAGCACAGGCTCCGGACGTGCAGGCCCAGAGGCCATGGTTCACGGCCCCAGCCGCTCTGCGGCATGCGGGATCCTCCCAGAATGGGGCACGAACCCGTGTCCCCTGCATCAGCAGGCTGAGTCTCAACCACTGCGCCACCAGGGAAGCCCTAATAAATATTTTAAACACACAGAAAATGAAAAATACAAGTAACTATGTACTTACATTCGGATTTAACACATTGACATTTTGCCATGTTTGCTTTATTTTTCAACTTGTCAAATAAATAAAATGTTACAGATAAAGGGTAAGTTCATATGCTATTCTGCCTGTGCCTACCCTCCACCCCCACCAGTTAACCACTACCCTGAAGTTGCGTCCATGCTTGCTTTATGCTTTTATGTTTTACATAAAAGTGTATACTTAAGGGCAGGAATAGAGACGCAGACGTAGAGAACAGATGTGTACACAGTGTGGGGGAAGAAGGGGATGAATTGGGAGATTGGGATTGACATATATACCCTACCACGTGTACAACAGATAGCTAGTGGCACCTGCCGGGGGAGGGGGAGGGGTGGGGGGAGGGAGGGAGGGAGGTCCAAGAGGGAGGGGATATATGTATACACATAGCTGATTCACTTTGTTGTACAGCAGAAACTGACACAACGTTGTAAAGCAACTATACCACAATTTTAAAAAAAATTACATATTATTGTTTTGTTTAAAACGTACATGAATGGTAAACTGCTGTCTATATCCCTTTCTGATGTGATTTTCCAGCTTTGTCAGTGTTTTGTGACCTTCATCTGTGCTGACACTGTGGACCTAGCCTCTTCATTTTGATTGTTGCTTGATGTGCGGTCCAGTGATTGAATAAACCGCAGTCTGTCCACGCCCCTACAGACAGGCAGTGAGGTTGTGTCTACAGTATCATTATTGTGGATGAGCCAGTGTTTCCAACATGAATGGGGTCCCCCTTGCAGGTGGTTCGTAAAGAAAATAAATTCAAGTAAACTTAGTTATTTTTGGTGTTATTTTGGGAAGATAACCGGGTTTGAAATCAAACTCATCTGGGTTCAAATCCCGGTTTTGCTTTGTCTTAGCTCAGTGACGCTAGTACGGTTATTTAATTTCTTTGAGCCTCAGTTTCTTCGCCTGCAAATGTGCAGTTATAACATCACAGTTGCTTGGTTTAAAGGGGATATTGGAGGGCCTGGCCCCTAATGGGTATTTGATGACTGTTAGTTCTCTTTGTTCAAAATTGACTGCACCAAGTGTTGACTAAGATCCGGAGCACCTGAGACTTTTGTTCACTGATGGTGGGAATGTAAATGGTAGAGCCACTCTGGAAAACACTTGGGTACTTTCTATTAAAAAACTACTTAAAAAAAAATTAAATATACACCTACCATATGACCCAGCTGTTCTACTCCTAGAGAAATGGAAACATACATCCACTGAAATATTAAAGCAGCTTTATTTGCACTAGCTAAAAAAACTGGGAACAACCCAGATATACTGCAGTAGGTGAATAGATAAACTGTGGTATATCCATACAATGGAGTACTTCTCAGCAATAAAAAGGAATGAACTATTTATACACATACAACATAGGTAAATCTCAAGATAATTTTGCTGAGTGAAAGAAGACAGACAGACAAAAGTGTGTAATGCATCTATGTAAAACTCTAGAAGATGCAAACTAAACTCTGGTGACTGAAAGCAGATCAGTAGTTGTCTGGGAATGGCGAGGAGGCACTCACAGAGGCAGGAATTCCAAAGGGCCAAAGGCGTGAAAATGCGACCCATATTCATTGTGGGGATGGCTTCATGGGTGTGTACTCATGTACACATGTATGTAGGAAGTCATCAGATTGTACACTTAATTAATTTAGTTATTTTTGGGTGCGTTGGGTCTTCGTTGCTGCACGTGGGCTTTCTCTAGTTGTGTCGAGCAGGGGCTACTCTTCATTGTGGTGCGTGGGCTTCTCATTGCGGTGGCTTCTCTTGTTGTGGAGCACAGGCTCTAGAGGCGTGGGCTTCAGTAGTTGTGGCATGTGGGCTCAGTAGTTGTGGCTCGCGGGCTCTAGAGTGCAGGCTCAGTAGTTGTGGCACACGGGCTTAGCTGCTCCGTGACATGTGGGATCTTCCCAGACCAGGGATCGAACCCGTGTCCTCTGCATTGGCAGGTGGACTCTTAACCACTGTACCACCAGGGAAGCCCCTGTACACTTAATTGTACAGTTAATTGTTATGTCCACTGTGGAAAACTCACAGATTGTACACTGTGGAAAACTTTTTACACAAAGTTGAAAATTAAATAAGAATAAACAAACGAAGGCATATTTCCACTTATTTTTAAAAGCTAACAAGCCTTTAGTGTTAAAGTTGCATTTTTTAAGTATTTTGACCTGGTAATTACAGCCTTGGCAAGTTGATTTAAGAGAGGTAAACAATGCCTAGGATTCTTTTATCACATGGATGTTACTTAATTAGTTGTAGTAAGTTCTGTTTAAGTCAAATTATTTAGCAAACTAGGTTCTAATAAATAAATGGAATTTGGTTCTTCTAGTGTTTAATGCCCTGCTTTGATATGTAATACCTAAAGTCAAACATTGGGCTTCCCTGGTGGTGCAGTGGTTGAGAGTCCACCTGACGATGCAGGGGACACGGGTTCGTGCCCCGGTCCGGGAGGATCCCACGTGCCGCGGAGCGGCTGGGCCCGTGAGCCATGGCCGCTGAGCCTGCGCGTCCGGAGCCTGTGCTCCGCAACGGGAGAGGCCACAGCAGTGAGAGGCCCGCGTACCGCAAAAAACAAAACAAAACAAAAAAAACACACAAATCAAAAAATAAAGTGAAACATCAATGAACAGTTAACATTTGTGTTTGTTACATTGTACTTGTAAGCATAAACAATGAAAAGTGCTTCTTGATTTCATGAATGTGTGAATTGTGTTGCTTTCCCAGGATGATTTTTCTCCCACAAGCAAGCTTCAGCGTTTGCTGGCAGAATCCCGTCAGATGGTTACAGATCTGGAGCTGAGCACTCTGCTCCCCATCAGCTCTGAGAATCTCAGCAGCAGCGCCAAAAGTGTACGTGGTTCCTTTTCTTTTGACCCCATCTGTAGTATGCAGACACTCCAGTCGTGCGCAAACGTCCCTTTCTGTTAGAATGAAAGGGGAGGAGGTAGCAGGCTGGGTTTAAGGAGGAAGAGAAAGTCATACTCAGATGTCGCCACACCCAGACTTCCTCTTTCCAGTTACCTGGGCACATGCACGTACATTCTGGGGGATTTTAAAAAAATATTTTATTGTAGAAAATTTCAAATACAGATGTAGAAAGAATACTTCCAATCACAGAGCTTCAGTAACCATCAGCTTTCTGCTGTTTCGTTTCATCTTCCCCCATCTGTACCTGTTTTCTCCTGAAACTTTTTTTTTTTTTGCGGTACGCGGGCCTCTCACTGCTGTGGCCTCTCCCTTTGCAGAGCACAGGCTCCGGACGCGCAGGCTCAGCGGCTGTGGCCCATGGGCGCAGCCGCTCCGCGGCACGTGGGATCCTCCCGGACCGGGGCACGGACCCGTGTCCCCTGCATCGGCAGGCGGACTCTCAACCACTGCGCCACCAGGGGAGCCCATCTTCTGAAACATTTTAAAGCAAATCCTAGACATCATGTCATTTCACTCATAGGTACTTCATTCTGTAGCTCTAACAGATAAGGACTTTTTTCACACCCAGACAAATTAACAGGGACTCTTTAATATCGTCTAGTGACTAGACCACGTTAAGATTTCCCCATTTATCTCAAAAATGTCTTTTTACTGGTTATTCAAATCAGTACTCAGCCGAGGTCCGTACTTGGCACTTGGATAAGTTCCTTAAGGTCTCTCTTAATCACTAACAGTTCCTCCTCCTTCCCTCCCTCCCTCCCTCTTTCCTTCCTTCTCCTTCCTCCTCTTTCTTCCTCTTCTTTCATTGTTTTTAATGCCATTTATTTGTGGAAGAAACACTGGGTCATTGTCCAGTAGAATTTCCCACATTCTGGATCTAGCTGACTCCATCCTGTCTGTTGTTTTATCCCCCAAATTGCTGTAAACTAGTGTTTCCATCTGGCAACTTGATTAGACTTGGGATCAGTTTGGGGTTTTTGTCTGTTTTGGGACGACACCTTCCTGGGCAATGCTGTCTGCTGCCTATTGCACTGTATCGGGAGGATCCTCGTGTCTGGTTGTCCCACTTTTGGATGTCAGGCTTGATGGGAGTTCAGGGGATTGTCAGCCTGAGCTTTTTTATTATAGAGTTTCCCTAAAGTTCACTTAAGGATTTTAGCATTCCTTGATTTTTATGACTTAGATCTGTTATTTCATGAGGAATTGCAAAATAGTAATTTCCTAAATTTATCATTCTTCGGGGAGTGTTTCACACGTTAATTCTAACTGCCTTTTTTTTTTTTTTAATACTACTCTTTATTTATTTATTTATGGCTGCGTTTGGGTCTTCTTTGCTGCGTGTGGGCTTTCTCTAGTTGTGGTGAGCAGGGGCTACTCTTCGTCGCGGTGCGTGGGCTTCTCATTGCGGTGGCTTCTCTTGTTGCGGAGCACGGGCTGTAGGTGCACGGGGTTCGGTAGCTGCAGCACACAGGCTTGGTAGTTGTGGCTCGCGGGCCCTAGAGCACAGGCTCAGTAGGTGTGGTGCATGGGCTTAGTTGCTCCGCGGCATGTGGGATCTTCCTGGACCAGGGATCGAGCCTGTGTTCCCTGCATTGGCAGGCGGATTCTTAACCACTACACCACCAGGGAAGTCCCTCTAACTGCTTTTTCTGAGCACAGGAACCTTTCAGTAGCAATGATATAAGTTGCTTTGTAGATTTTATAGCCTAACATAAATAGTGAAAAGAACATTCGACTTGAAATCAGAATACTTGGGTCCCAATTTCCTAATCTGTAAAATAAGAGCTTGAAACGGATGCTTTAAGATTCCAGGTACATTACTTGGATGTGCAATGGGCATAGTTAAAGGTATTTGAAGGCCATTGAGTTAAACTTTTTTGTATCCCTGACCAAAGACTCTAAAATTAAAAAGGTCTGCAAAACACTGAAATACCTTTCTTTTTAAATAAACTTTATTGAGGTGTAATTTATACTATCTCAATCAATAAAGACATTTTATTGAGAATGTATTTAGGGCTTCCCTGGTGGTGCAGTGGTTAAGAGTCTGCCTGCCAGTGCAGGGCACACAGGTTCGAGCCCTGGTCCGGGAAGATCCCACATGCCGCGGAGCAACTAAGCCCCTGCACCACAACTACTGAGCCTGTGTGCCACAACTACCGAAGTCCGTGTGCCTTGCCACAACTAGAGAAAACTTCACGTGCAGCAATGAAGACCCAATGCAGCCAAAATAAATAAATAAATAAAAGAATGTCTTTAATGCTTATATACTTGTTCTTTAACAAAGAACTGGTATAGATCACTAGTTCAATAAGTTTATTTAGCTTTAATGTGTATTAATGTATGTGTACATTACACATATGTACCCATGTAACCAACATCCCAATCAAGATATAGAACAGTTCCATCACCCCAGAAAGTTCCCTCATCCTCTTTGGAGTGAATCTTCCCTTACTGCCACTCTAGGCAGCTACTGATTTGACTTTTATTGTCAGAGAATAATTTTGCCTGTTCTAGAACTTCATATAAGTGCAATCATACACTATGTACTCCTTATCTAGCTTCTTTCAATAGACTTATGTTGAGATTCATCCATGTTGCTGTGTTTATCAGTGTTTCACTCCTTTTTATTGCTGATTAATATTCCATTGTATATGAGTTTGTTTATTCACCTGTCGATGGGATATTTGGGTTGTTTCCAATTTTGGGCTATTATAGATAAAGCTGCTGTGAACTTTTTTTTTTTTTTTGGTTGCATTGGGTCTTCGCTGCTGCGTGCAGCCTTTCTCTAGTTGTGGCAAGCGGGGACTACTCTTTTGTTGCGGTGCGCGGGCTTCTCATTTGCGGTGGCATCTCTTGTTGTGGAGCACGAGCTCTAGGTATGTGGGCTTCAGTAGTTGTGGCATGTGGGCTCAGTAGTTGTGGCTCGTGGGCTCTGGAGCGCAGGCTCAGTAGTTGAGGTGTGCAGGCTTAGGTGCTCCACGGCATGTGGGATCTTCCCGGACCAGGGATCGAACCCATGTCCCCTGCACTGGCAGGTGGATTCACGCCACCAGGGAAGTCCGTGCTATGAACATTTTTACACAAGCCTTTTTTTTAACAGACATATGTTTTCATTTCTCTAAGGTAAATACCTAGAAATAGAATTGCTAGTTACAGGATTTAACTTTTTAATAAACTGCCAAACCGTTTTTCAAGGTGGTTGTATGATTTTACATCCCTGCCAGCCGTGTGGGAGAGGTCCAGGTGCTCCATACCCTCACCCAACCTTGTTTTTTTTGTTTTTTTGTGGTGCGTGGGCCTCTCACTGTTGTGGCCTCTCCTGTTGCGGAGCACAGGCTCCGGACACGCAGGCTCAGTGGCCATGGCTCACGGGCCCAGCCGCTCCGCGGCATGTGGGATCTTCCCGGACCAGGGCACGAACCCGTGTCCCCTGCATCGGCAGGTGGACTCTCAACCACTGCGCCACCAGGGAAGCCCCCAACCTTGGTTTTGTCGGTCCATTTGATTTTAGCCATTCTAGTAGATCTGAAATGGCATCTCGTTGCCATTGAATAATTTGCATTTTCCTGATAACCCAATGATGTGCATCTTCATGTGCTCTTTGGCCCTTCATATGTCTTCTTCTGTGCAGTGTCTTTAAGTCCTTTACCCATTTTTAATTTGATTGTTTCCTTTTATATTAATTGAGTTGTAAGAGTTTTTCATATAGTCTAGACACAAGTTCTTTATCTTTTGTCAAATATATTATTAATATTTTCTCCTAGTTTGTGGCTTGCCTTTTCATTCTCTTAAGAATAAAAGAGCAGAAATTTGAAATTTTGATGAAGTCCAATTTATCCTTTTTTTTTTTTTTTTAATGGTGTGTTTTTTGTTCCAAGAAGTGTACCTCAAGGTTGTGAATATTGTCTCCTCCTAGAAGTTTTGTGGTTCTGTTTAGGTCTGTGGTTCATCTCTTATTTAAATTTTGTGGATGGTGTGAAGTAAAGATCAAAGTTCACTTTTCTCCATACAGATTTTAGCTCCATCATTGTCATCGTTTGTTGAAAAGACTGTCCTTTCTCCATTGAATTACTTTCAGCATCTTTATTGAAGATCTGCTGACTGTATATTCAAGGGTCTATTTCTGGACTCTCCAATCAGTTCCATTGATATGGTTGTTCTCCTTACACCAATACACCAAACTGATTACATAACTCTATTGGAAATCTTGAAATCAGTATACATCCTTGACTTTGTTTGCAAAATTGTTTTGCCTATTCTAGGCCCTTTGCCAGGTCCATAGCAATTTTAGAGTCAACGTGTCAGTTTTTTAAAAATGCCCTCTGGGGGCTTCCCTGGTGGCGCAGTGGTTGACAGTCGGCCTGCCGATGCAGGGGACAAGGGTTTGTGCCCCGGTCCGGGAAGATCCCACATGCCGCGGAGCAGCTAGGCCCGTGAGCCATGGCTGCTGCGCCTGCGCGTCCGGAGCCTGTGCTCCGCAACGGGAGAGGCCACAACAGTGAGGGGCCCACGTACCGCAAAAACACACACACACACACACACACACACACACACACAAAATGCCCTCTGGTATTGTGATTTCATTGAATCTACAGAGCACTTTGGGAAGGATTGACATCTGTGAACAGAGTATATCTCCAGTTGCTTAGGTCTTCCTTCTTTTCTCTTAAACCATATTTTGTAGTTTTCATTGTAGGGGTCTTACACATTTCTTTTTAATTTATTTTTTTAATGTATTAATTTTTGGCTGCTTTGGATCTTCGTTGCTGTGCATGGGCTTTCTCTAGTTGTGTCGACAGGCTTCTTATTGCGGTGGCTTCTCTTGTTGCAGAGCACGGGCTCTAGGCACACAGGCTCAGTAGCTGTGGCACGCGGGCTCAGTAGTTGTGGCTTATGGGCTCTAGAGCACAGGATCAGTAGTTGTGGCGCACGGACTTAGTTGCTTCGCGGTATGTGGGATCTTCCCGGACCAGGGCTCTAACCCATGTCCCCTGCATTGGCAGGCGGATTCATAACCACTGTGCCACCAGGGAAGCCCCATTACACATCTTTTAAAAAATTTATTCCTAACATTTTGTTTATTGATGCCATCATATGTGGTATTTTAAATTTCATTCTCAAATTGTTTGTTGATGATATAAAGAACGATAATTGCCTTTTATAAATTGCATCTTTGCTACCTGGGCTCTTTGGTGGGGCTGATGGCAGACTGTGGGAGGGCTGACGCCAAGGAGTACTTCCCAGAACTTCTGCTGCCAGTGTCCTGGTCCCCACGGTAAGCCACAGCCACCGCCCGCCTCTGCAGGAGACCCTCCAACACTAGCAGGAAACTTGCACGAGCCTCTTAGATAGCCTCATCCACCAGAGGGCAGACAGCAGAAGCAAGAAGAACTACAGTCCTGCAGCCTGTGGAACAAAAACCACATTCACAGAAAGATAGACCAGATGAAAAGGCAGAGGGCTATGTACCAGATGAAGGAACAAGATAAAACCCCAGAAAAACAACTAAATGAAGTGGAGATAGGCAACCTTCCAGAAAAAGAATTCAGAATAATGATAGTGAAGATGATCAAGGACCTCGGAAAAACAATGGAGGCAAAGATCGAGAAGATGCAAGAGATGTTTAACAAAGACCTAGAAGAATTAAAGAGCAAACAAAGGATACAATAACTGAAATGAAAACTACACTAGAAGGAATCAATAGCAGAATAACTGAGGCAGAAGAACGGATAAGTGACCTGGAAGACAGAATGGTGGAATTCACTGCTATGGAACAGAATAAAGAAAAAAGAATGAAAAGAAATGAAGACAGCCTAAGAGACCTCTGGGACAACATTAAACACCACAATATTCACATTATAGGGGTCCCAGAAGGAGAAGAGAGAGAGAAAGGACCAGAGAAAATATTTGAAGAGATTATAGTTGAAAACTTCCCTAACATGGGAAAGGAAAGAGCCACCCAAGTCCAGGAAGTGCAGCGAGTCCCATACAGGAAAAACCCAAGGAGAAACAGGCTGAGACACATAGTAATCAAATTGGCAAAAATTAAAGACAAAGAAAAAGTATTGGAAGCAGCAAGGGAAAAA